CTCTACACAAATGACTGCACCTCTACTGGCCCCTCTGTCAAGCTCCTGAAGTTTGCAGACGGCACCACAGTCATCTGTCTCATCCAGGATGGAGACGAGTCTGCTTATAGACAGGAGGTCGAGCAGCTGGCTGTCTGGTGCAGCCACAACAACCTGGAGATGAACACGCTCAAAACTGTGGAGATGATCGTAGACTCTCCCCCCACTCACCATCATGGACAGCACTGTGGCTGCAGTGGAGTCATTCAGGTTCCTGGGCACAACCATCTCTCAGGACCTGAAGTGGGACACTCACATTGACTCCATTGTGAAAAAGGCCTGCCACAGGCACAGATGACACAGTTTTACTCTGTTTTAATGCTATTATTGAGTCGGTTCTGTGCTCTTCTATAACTGTCTGGTTTGGGTCAGCCAGCAAATCAGATTTAAGAAGACTGCAACGGACTGTTAGGACAGCAGAAATGATCATTGGTGTGCACCTGCCCAGTCTTCAGGACTCCTCATCACAGACCCCTCTCACCCCGGACACAACCTGTTGCACTTCTCCCCTCAGGCAGGCGCAACAGATCTCTGCGCACTAGAACATCTAGGCATAAAAACATTTTTTTCCCCAATGCCATCTCCAGCTTAAACAGCTAACACATGAATCATTACCTGTGTTCTGTAATTCATTTCCGTAATTCATTCTACATCTTTAATTATTGCCTTTTTCTCAAGTATTATGTAAATACACATGGATATCTCTTATTTATACAGTTCTATATAGAGTACATGATGCACAAATCTGTACATAAATCTACTGTTCCAGATTCATACACATTATTTTTTGTTAAGTCTTACTATTTAAATGTTTTTTTTTCTGTTCTCATGTCAGATGTGTATGTATGTATGTATGCATGTGTGTATGTACCAGGAGCACCTGATAAAAAATAAAAAAATACAACAAATTCCTAGTGTGTTTGCGCACACCTGGCGAATAAAGCTAATTCTGATTCTGATTCTGATATGTACACGTTACAATGTGGGTGAGTAGCTGACAAATGTGGCTTTATTGTATCAACATTTTGGCTTTCTAATACAAACAGTCTCTGAGAAACTAAAGGAATTGCAAAAAGATGGCAACTCTCTCCCTAAAACTCACTTGGACGTGTAGCTACACGATCACAAGTTATGCAAATTCTTGTTAAATGCAAAGAGCTCCGTTGTTACAACCTGCCCCGCTATTGATGGAATGAGATGTAATTTGCTGAAATAAGACCCTTTCTGAGGAGGGCTTTATATCTTCTCAGAAAGCAAACCTCGAAACAAAGAAAGAACGGAGTGCAGACTGTACACCAAAACTTTCTTCAAGCAGAATCGTAAGTAGTCACGTTTGTTTTCTACAGTGCTTTATACAATACTGACAGCTAAAAGCAACTTCACAGTAATAAACGTTTAAAAAAAAACAGTTGCAAAGTTATTTGATTTCAGGAATCAAGGATTTTAATTTTGAGAGTTAATTAAGTATACATGTTATATAAGATATGTTTAGCATTATAACGGTAGATTTGAAGTGAAAAAAAAGACAATATAAATTAGTTCAAGGCTCTTAAATCCATTAGTTGGAGCAACTTTTTCATTTTTTATTTTGAGTAATTAACTTAAAAATATGTGTTTATGTTACAAATAATTAAGTACTTCTGTTTGAATGTAGTTTGTTGGTTGAACATAATTTCGAGTTGTCATAACTCGAAGAAATGTATGCAAACTGTTGAGTTTTTTTATTTATTTATTTTTAACTAGCATGATTTTCAGACGAAGCCCATCCAAAAGCCTGTTTTTGAAATAGCCTCCTTACATCAATCTAAACAATAGTCAATACATTTTATTTTAGATTTTACATGAAAACAAAATATGAATGTGTTATATTTTGCTGATGTATTGTTACAGTCGATCAATATCAACATGCCACTTTACAAGCTTCTTTTGTAGGCTGAATTTATGCCGATAAACAGTGATATCTGACATGCTTAGAACATCTAGTGGATTGAAACAGCACTACAGTCTCTGCGCTCTGTTTTTGGAAGAATTTCACCAGCTTGTCTGTCCTCATCCTGCTGCTAAACAATTACTAAACAATATTCCAGCACACTTTCTAACTGTACCTGACACTTGAACAGAATGACAACACTAATGATAGTGGCATTATTATTTGTTTGGTTGAACAAACTGTGTCATTAAAACCGACCTCAAAGATAGAAGAGAATCAGATAGACCTTTATAAAGTGTTCAAGACAGACCTTATATGAACCCGAACAAATATAAAGGATACCCTTATTTTAAACTTCAAAAGGAAATCAGTGAAATACGTGGTAAGCGGAGTTTCAAGCACACCGGTAAACACTGCTTTAAGAGCACAGTCAAGACTGTTTTGACTATATTTCTCCTAGTGACACAAAATGGACACCAAAAGAGTGATTACTGAGGTGCTTGAGGATCTTGTGGATAAAGAGCTCAAACAATTCATCTGGCAGCTGTGCAATGGGGTCACACCAGACACTGAGCCGATTTCTCGAGCAAAGCTGCAGACTTCTGATCGTGAGGTGGTGGTGGACTGCGTTGTAACGCAGTACTCCGATAATGCTGGGAAGATCGCAGTCCAAGCGCTGCGCAACATGAAACAAAACGAGCTTGCAAAGCGCCTTGAATTAAAACTTCAGGAAGGTATCAAATTAGACTGCTTTAAGCTTTCATATTTCTTAAGTATATATACTGTATATATATAGAGAGAGTAATCTTTTTGAATAATAAAGATATAAGTATACATATAATGGTGTTAGATTATTTTTTCTAAATGTGAATATACAGTGTCTTCAGTTCAGCAGCCTGTGCAGGAAGACACAAGAAATGCTCCTGAGCCTATGGAGCTGCAGCCCATCCAGGCTGACTGGCACAGACCGCACAGCATTACCGCATGCAGCCAGCAATTTAAGCACACACTTCTTACACAAGAGAGAAATGATGCAAGTATCTCTGTTTCCTTGAACTTTTGTGAAAATAATACATTCATTGGTCCTGCTTTTGGAAGGCTGCCTTCCTGCAGAGCTAATGAACTTTAAAGGGGTGGTTCACTGTTTTTTTTTCTAGGCTTGATTGTGTTTATGGGGTGCAGTCTAACATGTGTTAATGCCTCGTTAAAAAAAAAAACACATTATTTTTAATGCGTTAATATTTTTAATTATTCCACACTGCTCTGTGCCTTCTCTGAGAAACGGGCTGATCATTTCCTGCTTTTATGAAGCCCCGCCCTCAGAAATAGGCGATGGGCTCTGATTGGTTAGCTGGCCCAGTGTGGTGTGATTGGCTAAACCGCCTCTAGTGCGCGTCTAAGCGTCCCGTCCCTCATCTCAGCGGCATGTGCTCCGGTTGTATTGTAAACAACTGCATCATTAATATCGCTTATCAGTTTGAGCCCGATTGAGAAGCAGAGGATATTAGTGAAGAGGATCGTGCAGAACCTGTGCAAGCACGGCTTTTAATGGTAGGCCTATGTTTTTTGTTTGTTGCTGTCTCATACTTTTAGATACGCTGTTATTTGTAAATGCTACTGCTTCTGTTAGCTTTTAATATACGGTTTTATCCTGATTAAAGCTTTAATACAGTACGGTAACTGCACGCTTGTTTAACACTTGTTTAACACTTCTCATAGCTATGTGAAAATAAATGTATAATTGGAAATATAAAAGTTCATTGTTGGAGGTGAGCTGAATGAGAGAGAGAGAGAGAGAGAGAGAGAGAGAGAGAGAGAGAGATGCAGAGCGTGTGCAGAGCAGGGCGAGGCCAGGAACATTATTAAGAACCGCTGCTTTAGAACATTGATTTTGAAGCTTGTGAATCCATTAGAATCGTTAGAAGACAGAATCATGATTCATATATGAATAGATTTTTACGTGCACCTCTAGTTTTCTCTTCCTCTTCTCTAAAGCAGCGCTGCATGGCCCCGCCCCCTTTCCTGCCTTTTCCCGGGGGCGGGGTTTATCTGGGTTTGTTACATCACGAACCCGGGAAGTATCCCTACCAGCCGTTTTTATAGGCATTAAAGTGCCAGAAATGTAAAAGGAGTTATCTCCGTTTGCACTGAACTTTCAGCTTCGTAACTTTGCAGATATTGTTTATGCTCAAACAGCAACATTACACACTAACATTAAAAAAGTGAAATCACAATCAACCACCCCTTTAAAACATTAATTTAAAAAACGTTTTCCAATGCAAGCTTTTCTGTCCTTACAGAACATGTTCTGAATGATATTTTATGTTGATCAGTGTTTCCACAAACCACAACTGTTTTCAACATTGATAATAATCAGAAATGTTTCTTGAGCAGCAGATCAGCATATTATACTGATTTCTGAAGATCATGTGACACTGAAGACTGGAGGAATGATGCTGAAAATACAGCTGCACATCACAGAAATACATTACAGTTTACAATAGATTCACATAGAAAAATAATATTTCAAAATTTTACTGATTTCACTGTTTTTTTAATCAAATAAATGAAGTCTCGGTGAGACTTTAAAAATACATTAAATAACCTTACCAACTCCCACATTTTTTACAGTAGTGTATAAAGTAGGCTATGTGAATATAGATAATATTGGAGATATGTGCAAAAATAAAATGATTTCATGGCATTGTATATAGATTGGTTATCTTGCGTGTCTTTTAATTCTGCAAAATTCGGATGTTTTTTCATAGATTTATTTACCAACGAGCAGGTCTCAGAGGAAAGGCTCAGCTCTGCTAATCACCAACATTGAATTTGACAATCCAGAGTACAACAGGTACGGAGCAGACAAAGATGAGGAGAACATGGAGTGGCTGCTGACAGCTTTGGGTTACAGTGTTGAGAAACACAGAAATCTCTCTGGAAATGTGCGTAAGACAAAATTCTGGCTTCATGAAACCAGTACTGTCGATGTAGAGCTAGTAGCATTTTATAGCATGCATTTCTTTTAAGAAATTGTTTATTTATTCACAGGAAATAAATAGAGCAGTCGTGAACTTCTCTAAACGCTCTGAACATCGAGCCTCGGACAGCACCTTTGTGGTCATTATGTCTCATGGGGACAGAATTGACAACAGAGGTGCCACCTTTTGTCATTTTACAAAAGATGTCAACAGAGATTTCATTTTAGGTGTCCATTATCATCCATTCCAAAATCCTAAAGATGTCTACTTTGTTGACGATACTTTCACCCATCTGAACTCAGAGAACTGTCCCGCTCTGATTGATAAACCAAAGATTATTCTCATTCAGGCCTGCAGAGGAAGTACGGCATGACTCGCTTTCATTTCTCTTTGTTTTTCTCTGTTTCCTAATTTATTTCACTTTGCATGCTGAAATATTGTGAAGTCTTTTAAGGGAAAATGTCCCACAATTAACCATTTCTCTGTCCAGAGCATGAAGGAGGTGTGTATGTTCATGACAGTGTGCCTGAATCAGACTCCTGGGTTCACAGGGAGAAAGACTTTGCCTGCTTTATGTCCACCCTCCCTGGTGAGTCCTCTAAACAAATAAATCATTACAATAAAACACTGACTGCAGATATGAGATGTGTTGATTTTCCTCATATTCAAAGGGTAGACACGATTAAAGCAACTTTGTTGTCTTTTTGTTAAATATATTAGTTTAAGGTTGGTTTGAAGAAGAAACTGTCATGGTGAACCGATGAAACCACTTGAATGATCATCTAGAACGACCAATGCTTCTTCCTTAATGAGCAAAGTCTCAGAGGCTGCTTTGTACTTTATTGTATGACTTAACTATGAATAATCTCCACAGGTGTCGTTGCGTACAGGAGTGAAGTCGATGGAAGTTATTTCATCAGCTACATAGTGGATGAGTTCAGTACGAGCGCTCATAAACATGACATTATGAAGTTGTTCAGCAAGGTAAATGAAGAAAACCTTATTTAAATTAGCTTGTTTTATTCCGTCTAGAAATCAAAACAATCTCTTTCATTGTATTCACCCCGAGTGCATTGCTCAGTTAAAATGCATGAGTTTGCTTCTTGTCACATTGAAATAGGATCTTTTGTTACAGGTCGTCTCACGCATGGCGAATGACCCACATTTCACACAGAAGTGGAAACTACTGCCGTGTATTGAAAGGACAACCCTTGTGAAGACATTCTACCTGTTCCCTGGTCTCTAATAACGTTTAGAGACAAAACACTACAGGCGAATAGGGTAGAAACATCACCGTACTTCCTCAGCTGATTAATCACAGCACATTATGACAGCTGTCTTATATTACAAGTTTTCTGAAATGTTGTTTAAACATGTAAATGAGGCATTATCTAACAAAATATGCACACGTTTGCATACATTTCACACTCATAAAGAAAAGAAGTCTAAAACATTGAATAAAGTCAGGTTGAAAATTCAGTGCATAAGAAAATGTTGAGAGAAAAAAAACAGCCTCTAAAGAAATGTATTGTAGTTTGAGGGTTTAAAGGATTCTTCATAGCAAGAGAGCAACCATGCATCTGTGTTGATTTATTTTCTTTCTTTCATATTCATTCATTTATCATTTCATCATTTTATTATGCCATTTAATCATATGATCATTTATAATAATCATTTAAACCAGCCATTTCATTGATTCATTCATTGATGAGTCCTTTATATTATATTATTATACTTTATATTGTTTTTCCATTGTTGTGTAGTCTTATGATGTGCGGTTTCAAGAGATATCTGTGTTCACGAGTAAGAGATCAGAGAATGTCTCCATGTCAAGGTTTATTACACACAGGACGATGTTGTGAAGCAGTCATTTTCCATTGCTATTATTCCGTGGTATAATAACACTTGTTGGATTTGGGCTGGTCAGATTATTCAGTCTGAGCATAGAAACATGCACAACTATGATTATTCAATAAACTCTGCTTTACTCGGTCAACTTCTTGGCTGATAAATGACTGTTAATAAAGACGAAACACTGGTTTGGGGGAAAAAAAACTTTGCTGACTGGGTTTTTTATATAAGAAAAACAGATATCTAACAAATAGAAATATGTTGATGCATATATAGTTGAAGTGGAATAAAATAAAAACTGAAACATGTATGTTGGATGTTTTCTTTCCCTTAGTCTAAAAGAAGACATGCTATAGAAGTAAAATAGCCCAAAATCTCAAAATGTACCCATGCATGAAAAACAATGGTTAACGCATTCATAATAAAACACATTCTAAATATACACACTCAAAATAAATGAAATTATAGATTCTTTTTTTTTTACATCTCATTTAATGACATTTCTTTATATACTACACTATTGCCATATTACTATATTAACCATACGTTTCTGGAGTCGCCTCCATCCAGTATAGTGACAATGTGTATGTTTAGTATGTAAATATCATGCTAAAATAATAGAAAAGAAAACAAGACTGCGGTTGTCAGATTTACTGAAGATGCAGGATTTTTTTATTGTGGTTCTGATCATTAGATTTTAAATACTTGCCACCACTGTTTAAAATGTGTTATTGACTGACAGACATTATTAGTTCATTCCACAAAGGAAAGTGTTTAATAACAGGATATTTTGAGAAACTTTTCAGCTAGTCATGTGACCTCAATATATTTAGACACCATGTTTTACATAAAATCACAATGTCAATTTTGCATTAACGACAGAAGACAAATGAGCTTAAAAAGACGGTGTTAAGGCAAATGTTAAAGATGTCGATGATGTTTTGTCGTGTTTCATTCACAATCTAATGTAGAGGGAGTGACTGTAAGACTGTATTGTCCGTTTGCTCAAATATGCTTCATCCACAATCCAACAGAATTATGATCCGATGGTGTCTGAAGATAAGAAATGACTTGTACAGACTGTGCATGATCTTTTGTTCTTGCTAAGTTTTAGAGAATCTGCCTAAATATACTTCCACATGTGTGTACAAAAACAGCAGTCAAGATGAGCTGATTCTCTTTGGCTGTGTTAGAACACATTGTAGTCTGCTGCCTATATTTAGTAAAGCTTGTTTTGTGGTTCATTATTTTGCTTCATTCACTCTTTATCAGTTTTATATTTATTTGTTTGAGCTAAGAACGAAACTTAAAAATGTTGTGTGATTACGCAAGATAATTTATCATAGTACATTAATCATTTACTGCGTTCAAGCACGTAAACTCCACTTTGTAGAGAAATTAATAGAAACCTGTTTTCAGAGAAAAATAAAAATGATTAAAAAGCAGAATGAATGGTTTAACTTGATTATGGGGGCAGGGGTGTAGCAGATTAAACTGCATATTTGTTCATTACATTTCGGAAGGACCAAAAGTAGTTTTTAATTGTTTTTTTACTTATAATTTTACTTTGACCTACAAAAAGTACATGTTATTCATTTATTTATTTTTTGGGATTATTTTCTTCCGCACATGTAGCCCTTCCTCAGTCTTACAGGAGTTTTGCCGCTGGCTCTTCGTCAGAACATTGGCCCGGGATTGACTGTATTTACTTATTTTTATTTTTTGCCGTTATAGGGGAAATGTCATCAGTGTTGGGCAAGCTACTTGGAAAATGTAGAGAGCTAAGCTCATGTTGAGTTTTTTTTTTTATTATTATTTAATTTTTTTTTTACTAGCACATTATTTTTTATAATACTGATGCTTAGGTGTAAGTTTCATGGATGTGACACGTTCCTGGCGGGAGATATGTGCATTTCCTAAAAACTGGCTTGCCGTGAAAAGCATTACGTTTGTTTCATGTGTGATTTCAGACGAAGCCCATCCTAAAGCCTGTTTTTGAAATAGCCTCCCTTCATCAATCTAAACTAAAGTCAATACATTTTATTTTACATTTTACATTAATACAAAATATGAATGTGTTATATTTTGCTGATGCATTGTTACAGTCGATCAATATCAACATGCCACTTTACAAGCTTCTTTTGCAGGCTGAGAACCAGAAATAAAAAGCTTTGTGAATTTAGTATTTTTTCATGTCATTACATTGTTTAAAGCAAAAGGAAAAAAAAGGTAAAATAACATTTTTGAAAAATTATATTTTATTCATAAGTTATGCTTTGTCCTCTGTAGAGGACACCAGGACTCAGTTTTTCTAAAAATAAAATGACAAGAATAGACATGAAAAGGCAAAAACAATGGGAATTAAAAAAAATAAATAAATCACCAATCAATTTTTAGGCTTCAGGATTTTTTTATACCTAACTTTGTTTAAGGATGGTTCTCAACTATGTAATAAAATATATAAGAAAATGATTTGATATACCATTTTGCTTTATGCAATGTGTGTGTAAAAGTTCCATAAACTGGTTTTCCCATTAAGCACAATGTTATCTATACACTGTGTCTAATTTGCATATTAAAGTGCTGTTGGGACAGCATGAAGTGTAATAATGGGAGTAGTAATTGGCCAGATTTTCATAATAATATCTAATATTTCATAAGAATATTGATATATACTTTGTTTTCCTATTCAATTCTTTTGTCTCCCAAAATGTATAATAAACATGCGTTTAGTCCTGGTGTCCTCTACAGTGCACATGTATGAAATTATGTCCAGTTTCATAACAGAAGGTCATATTTTGATTTGAAACCCTGTAACAGTTTCCTGAGATGTTGATTTATGACAAACAATTTGAAAATGAATCAGATTTAAATTACAGTATAATTACAAAATATTATCATATTTCCATAAGGATGTACAATTGTATCACTAAATTAATGTCTGACATTTTTAAAGACCGAGGAGAGGGCGTGGTGATGGTGAAACATCCAATCATGTGGCATCTCTGGAAAGCCCTGAATGTGCTCTGTACAGGACATCCAGACTTACAACTGTGACATGTGAGGTCTCAGAGAAATTCACTCAAATGTCCACCACAGAGGCTAAAACTCCACAGCTGGGTCTCAGGAGGTTAATGCCGATAAACAGTGATATCTGACACGCTGAGAACATCTAGTGGATTGAAACAGCACTACATTATCTGCGCTCTGTATTTGGAAGAATTTCACCAGCTTGTCTGTCCTCATCCTGCTGCTAAACAATTACTAAACAATATTCCAGCACACTTTCTAACTGTACCTGGACTTGATGCAGAATGACAACACTAATGATAGTGGCATTATTATTTGTTTGGTTGAACAAACTGTGTCATTAAAACCGACCTCAAAGATAGAAGAGAATCAGATAGACCTTTATAAAGTGTTCAAGACAGACCTTATATGAACCCGAACAAATATAAAGGATACCCTTATTTTAAACTTCAAAAGGAAATCAGTGAAATACGTGGTAAGCGGAGTTTCAAGCACACCGGTAAACACTGCTTTAAGAGCACAGTCAAGACAAATGAGCAATTTCGGGCCCTATGAACGAATATGGGGTTGGGCCCCTACCGCACCAAACATTCTTCTAATTGTATAGCAATAGTTTGGACAGGACCCTTTTCTATTCTAACACAACAGCGCCTCTGTGTATAAGGCAAGGTAAAAAATAAAATAAAATAAAAAAGATTGATTCGGTCAGTGTGGAAGAATTTGACTGGTCTACAGAAAGCCAAAACCTGTTCATTAGAAGGGGGGTCCAATACTTTTGGCAATATAGTGTACAAGCCAGCCTAGCTATTCAAAACCTGTGTCTGCAATTTAATAATATTGAACCATTGCTTTTGCTGTTGCTTTTGACCATTAGGTATCAGTAACATAATTCATTCACAACCTGTTTTATGGACATAGACTTTCTGTACCACACTATTCTGCTGATATGGAAAGAGTTTGACTACTTAATCAGTTATATTAATATAAATGCTTCACTGGGGCGAATACAAATGAAATGGATATATCCTCCGTTACCTGTTGCATGGTATCTTCAGCTGTCATCTTAACCCTTCTTGGTGGTGTCTGACAGCTGTAATCATTCTTTTTGTTTAAGCATTATGTTCTTGTTGCTGATGCTGTCATATAATTGTTCAACTGAGGCCAGAAAACAAGAATTTTTGCATCCTCAAAATCCTCTTTCTTGTGTTTAACTGAAATACATGCAATGTCCTAGGAGAGCTTAGTCAAACACTGCAACACATTGACATATCTACAAATTAACTTTTGTTGGATTTTAAGCAAAGACATAACAGTTCCAGGGGGAAATTGAGGCTGGGCCATAAAATTACTACTGCACATGTTGACAGGTCTGGGTGGCATCAGCAAGAGCAGATGCAGTCCGATCTTCCTAGCAGGCGTTAAAATGTTCTTGTTGCTGATGCTGTCATATAATTGTTCAACTGAGGCCAGAAAACAAGAACTTTTGCATCCTCAAAATCTTTCTTGTGTTTAACTGAAATACATGCAATGTCCCAGGAGCCCTTAGTGAAACACTGCAACACATTGACAGATCTACGGATTAACTTTTGTTGGATTTTAAGCAAAGACATAAACAGTTCCAGGGGGAAACTGAGGCTGGGCCATACAATTACTACTGCACATGTTGACAGGCCTGGGTGGCGTCAGCAAGAGCAGATGCAGTCCGATCTTCCTAGCAGGCGTTAAAGTTGTTCCTGTTGGGCATCTGGAAGCAAAGGGTGCCCTTGGCCGTGGCCAAAATGTTTTTAAGATTAGCGCTGGCAAACTATGTGCTTGGCTGATGCTTGCAGGGTCCCCTAATTGGATCCTAAGATTTTAAAAGTTGTATAATCCATCCATGCTTTTACAATGTTCTCTAATTTTAGGAACTGTTAGAAACAACAGGCTAACAGCGACGGCCACCGATCAAGAGATAGAGTTTTATATGACAAAATGGCTCCATCTTGCATGTGACCGAGACGGAGGGAGGAGAAAACAAGAAAAACGAAGGAGTGTCCAAGACACCTGTATGTCAGTTACATTGTGTTTTTAATATATGTGTGTAGTAATTTGTATTTTACCATGGTCTGTCTGAATACTTGATTCCGATTGGCTCTAAGGTGTGCATTAAAACCATTGGTAACACTTTACAAGGTTTCATTAGTTAACATTAGTTTACTACTTTAGTTAACACGAACTAAGAATTTTTCTAGAGCATTTATTAATCTTAGTTAATGTTAATTACAATGTTTATTAATACATTATTAAAATCAAAAGTTGAATTTAACATTAGTTAATGCACTGTGAACTCATTTGAACAAACAATGATCGACTGTATTTTTATTATCTAACATTAACAAAGTTTAATAAATACTGTTACAAATGTATTGCTCATTGTTAGTTCATGTTAGTTAATACATTAACTAATGTTAACAAATGAGACCTTATTGTAAAGTGTTATCAAACTTTAATGCGCAAGTAGTTCCAGTAATGTGATGCTTTCATTAAAAGACACACACTCTGCTGTTGTGAAGTTTTTAAAACTCGCAGCTTCACTCTTAGTAGAAAGACACTGCAGAATAATTCATGAATCCATCTCTCACTCTGTCTTAGACATGTTGCGATTGTTAAATAACGGATTGCGTTATCTGATCTAACCATGTTTTTTTTTTCAGACAACTGTGATTATTGCACTGTTGTATTAGGCACAAGGGGGAAACATTAGTTAATGCACTGTGAACTCATTTGAACAAACAATGATCGACTGTATTTTTATTATCTAACATTAACAAAGTTTAATAAATACTGTAACAAATGTATTGCTCATTGTTAGTCCATGTTAGTTAATACATTAACTGTGTTAAAGCGGTCATATGATGTTTCTAAAAAGAACAACTAAAAAAAGAAGAGTCACAACGAAAAAAACCCTGATTTTGGCCCGAAGGACAGCGTCACCTGAATTCACAAATCATGGAGAATGATATTCGGTATTATTTTCATGTCTATGACAGCGCACTGCATATTTATAGCTAAAGGAAATCTGAATATCAAACCATAAACTATCTTTACTGTGGTCTAAAAAACGTACCATGAATTATGATCCGATGGTGGCTGAAGATAAAGAAAATGACTCACGGTCACATAATGACACTCAGCCTATTAGGACACAGATTTCCAAGAAATGACTTGTACAGACTGTGCATGATCTTTTGTTCTTGCTAAGTTTTAGAGAATCTGCCTAAATATACTTCCACATGTGTGTACAAAACAGCAGTCAAGATGAGCTGATTCTCTTTGGCTGTGTTAGAACACATTGTAGTCTGCTGCCTATATTTAGTAAAGCTTGTTTTGTAGTTCATTATTTTGCTTCATTTACTCTTTATCAGTTTTAGATTTACTTGTTTGAGCTAAGAATGAAACTTAAAAATGTGTCCTGTGTAATTTTGCAAGCTAAGTGAGGGAAGATAAGTTTCGTTTGTAAAGAATCAGCCCTCTCAGGCGTGGCAGCTTTCAGATGGAAAACCTTTAAAAACCAGCAGAGGAAAGATCAGTCTTCACGAGACACAGCAGAAGATCAGCACACTTTTCTGGAGAACATAGACATCTAACTATGGCAGTAAGTATAGGCAAATCTTTACATTCGACATCAAACTCCATTCAAACTCCAAAATGATTGCAAAGATATTATTTAAACTGAGCTGGATGTTGACATCACTGAATTCAATGATGAACTGTCTTTAACTGAAAAATGAGTGTTTACTATTGTCATTTTGCAGCTTTTAATGCACCTAGCTGTCACAGTATTGCAGATTTTTGATAAAATGTGAATATGAAAATGGCTTATGTTCATTTAAACACAGTTTACAACAAAATATATTTTAAAAATGTACTATTTTGTACATGCTCTTGATTTTTTTCATTATTGTAGTTATACAAATGACAGTTTGCAGCTTGTTCAGACTTCATTTATATTTACAGAATTCACCTTAACATTTTGCTTAGAAAAAAATATATACAAAAAGGGATGACACTTGGCACTTTATTACATACTTCATTACTCCATACACCATTATTGCTGATACTATTGCTGTAATTCTCTTTAAATGTGCATTACTTTGTCTCCTGTAGTACTGTTCAGTGTTTGGTTTCCATACAGGATGCACATAGTGTTTATTTGTGAAGTTAGAAGTGAACTGTCATTTCATTTCACTGTATATGCGAATGTGACTAAAACAAAACATATCTCAACTACCTGTACTTTATCTTCCCAGGCAGACTTCAGCCCCCAAAAACATGCTCGAAAAGCAAAGCCACACGTCTGTAAAAAAGAGCACATTGCAATAAAAGATCTGAAGACAAAACCTGAGATAAAACATCGACATATGAATACAACATATCTTTCGAAAGACATCCCTGATTATCCTTCTCCTGTTGAATTTCACATCACAGAAGTAGCTCATGTCACTAACAAGACGAGCCTTATGGAAATCTGGAAGTCAGAGGGATTCAAGGGTCTTGATGAAGATTCGTTTTCATGGTGGAGCCTGAAGATTAATGAAGCGGATATAAGAGCAGCTGAGGAGCGTTACCTCGAGAAATTGTTCCCAGACATAACCAAAGAACAAAAAACAGCTCATCTGCCGTTCCTGAGAGAATTCACCACGTCACCCTTGTTCCTGAACGAATTATCACGCTACGGTAACTTTCGCTTCACCTTTCCTCTGACTGAGCTGATGGACGCCTACAAGAAGCAGAAGTGTGAGGGCCAAGAGCCAGTTCTCCGGATCTACGGGACCAAGCTGTTCAAGCAGGAGATTGAGTATGTTGTTCTCGTTCACAGCCCTCAGTTTAATACGCTGTTCAGTCAATTTCCAAAGCTAACACACAGCCCATGGGTTGCTTATGATGGACAACAAATCATCTGGAGAGCCCAAGCCATTTGTGAAACTCACAACTTCCAACTGGTAATCAGTGGAGACACAGCAGCGGCAGATCGCATGTGTTCACATCAGTTTTATGTGTGGGATCATGTTAGCCTTGTCTTTTACGCCGAAGACGTCCTGACCTTCCCTAAAAGAAGGCTTAAGGCAAGCCTCAGTTGTTGTGATCTGGATCCAAAAGTAGACCTTTCAAATGGGGAAAACTGCTCTTCACGTGCTGAAGCTGAGGAATTCATTGAAAGATTGCCAGAAGATGAATCTGAAAAAGAAGAAGATAAATCAGTGGAGGTGAAAATGGAAAAGGACTAAAGGAGTGCAAGTTCTGTAAGAACTTTTACAGTTTGGTGGCTTTGTATGGTTTTGCCCTTTGTTAAAATAGTTTAAATAAGATAAACAAATAAATAAAAGGAGGGGGTGATTTTTAACTTATATTTGTTACTTGTCATTGAGAGGCTATAATGAGTAAAAAAAAAAACACTTTGAAACTGTCTGAATATTGCATGATGTGGTTGAATATTATTAGTTTTTTTCTAAACTTAAAATGCTCTCCGTCGTTCTTTCACTGATCTGGGCTGCGTTTCCCAAAAGCATCGTAAGCCTAAGTGGATCGTAGACTTATTGCCACCAAAGCTGTCTCTGATTAACTTACCTTACCATGCTTTTGAGAAACGCACCCCTGCTCATTGTTTTAGAGTCTCACAAAGATTACAATTACGCTTTTACTTTGTATCGTTGTGCTGCCAATTACCCAGCATGCCTTGTGACTTCTGCCTGTGTATTGATAATTGTGCCAATAAAGCATGTGGTGCAATACAGAATGTGAACCCGACTCACTTGGTTGTGATCAGCAGCAGTTTCACAGGGTTGACTGATCACGTTTCCAGACCCTGTTCCAGACCATTGACTGAAGCCTCCAGCGCCTCCTGCAGGAAACATGACAAAACTACACCTTCTGAAGAACCTCTGGCATGAGAATGATGAGCTCACAAGAACTAACCACAAACACAGGCCGGGTGCAGAGTGTAGCAGAGGATGCTGCATTTGTAGAAGGCTAGCGTTCCAAGCAGACTTTAGCTGGGATGTACATTTTGACAAAAAAAAAAAAAGGAAAACCGTGAGACTACAGACGTTTTCCTATTTATACAGTAATAATTTGATAGGGATACAATGTAATCAGGGCCGGCCCACGCTTTTATGGGGCCCTAAGCAGAATTTTATTTGGGGGCATTTATTTTATTTCGTGCTGAGCCAGAGACAGACGCGCTCACATTTAAATAGACATTTCAATTAAGTACTAGCAAAAAAAGAAGAAAAAAAAAGTTTACCATGGAAAGCGGCGATAATAATCCTTTCAATTAAAATATGACATATGTTTTATTCCTATCAAATACACATTGTGTAGGTAAATATAAAGTTTACTTAGTTTTTCTCTCAGTTCACCGGCCACTTACTTTCATGTATTTCAGGAGAAACGGGTGAATTGCGTGATGTTTATTTTTTATTATTGCTTACTGTACATAA